TCATTTTTCACCAATATCTTGTAGTAACAGTGGAAAAGTCAGACCACTGCGTAAATTCTTCTCCAGCACATGCCAAAGAATCTTAATGGGGTTAGATAAAACTTGACTTACAGATGTGGACGAATAACATGTTCACCTGGTTTGGCCGGAATAGCATTCTCAAGATGAATGTCCTACCGCGCCTGCTCTACCTCCTTCAGACCTTGCCGATACACATTCCGGCTGGTTTTCTGAGAAAGGTGAGAGTAGAATTTGGCAAGTTCCTCTGGGCACAGAAGGGGCACCGTCTTAGCCAAATGCTCATGTCCAGACCCAAACACAGAGGGGGTATTGGATTCCCGCATCCCTTGGGCTATCACAAGGCGGTACATATGGCTAGAATACTTGATTGGAGCCAGGGGGGAGAGGAAAAACGGTGGATTTCAATGGAGCAGTCCTGTACCACAGTTCCTCTGGGGGGCCTACCCTGGACAGACAGAAGGCATACAAGCCACCTTCGGACCCATCCACTCATTGGCCCCACGTTGGCCGTGTGTAAAGCAGATGGGACCAGTTGTAGAAGTGTTGGGTATCCTTCTCTGATGACCCCAGTGCTAGGGCACCCGGATCTGCCCATCTCAACCTGTGACAGGGAGATTAGCCAAGTAATTCAGTCAGGCAGCTTCAGGATGTACCACTTCCGCGCCGGCTCAGGCCTATTACCTATTAAGGATATTCAAGCATGCTCCGACCAACCCATGACCTTCTGGAAAGCGCTCCAGGTGCGTCATTTCCTCACCCAGTTGGTTCGACATCCACGGGAGATGCCTCCCCTGACCCCCTTCGAAGAACTTTGTTTAAGGGAGGGACCTATCCGTCATGGCCTGTCAGAAGCATACAAGCTGTTGGGAGACGCGCCTGATCTGCCCCTCCCGGGATATATCTCAAAATGGGAACGGGATTTGGGAACTACCTTTACTCCACCCCAGGTGGATAGGATATTTCAGATGACACACAAGGCATCTATATCCAGCAGCATCCAGGAAACGGGGTTCAAAATTCTCTCCAGATGGTACAGGGTCCCGACAACCTTACATAGAATGTTCCCACAGTGCTCACCACTCTGCTGGCGCTGCCAGACACAAGACGGTACGATACTACATGTGTTCTGGTCTTGCCCTCTACTCAGGGATTTCTGGGATAAGGTGGCGGAGGTCTGCACCACGCTGACAGGGGTTGTTTTGGGGTCTGATCCAGCTGAATATCTTCTGCACCTGGCACCCATGCCCTTACGCTGATATAGGAAATCCCTTCTGGTGGACTTACTTAGTGCGGCGAAGGCGTGTATCCCACTATACTGGAAGCGCTCGGTTGCGTCACCAATCTCAATGTGGCTGGCGAAAGTAGGAGAGATCTACAGAATGGAGGACCTCCTGGCCTCAGCTAGCCACAGAGAGACGCAGTTTAACCGCACATGGTTCTACTGGATGGATTTCACTACTACACAGGAATAAGCTGCCTTGTTAGGGGAGATGTGAAAAATAACACAGAGAGCGGGTGGCGCCTTTGAGGTGGAGATGTAGACATGAGGGGCTTCATTTATTCACTCACTTGCAGTTTCCCAGCTGATGGGAGGCTCGCGGGCAATTGACGGGAAAAGTGACGAAGGAGGCGAGCAGGACCCGATAAAGCCTCGTGAGGCATCGTCTGTCTCCCTTTCTATACTACTTTTTTCTATCTTTCTTCTATCTTAAGTCTTCTCCTTTCTTCTCCCCCCCCCTACCTTTTTTGCCTTTTTGCCGCTATTTACATTATTTACCCATTACTGTGCATATGGTATTGATGTATTGCTATAAGAAAAGACCTGGTCTGCCTCAGATGAACCATGTAGGCTCATGCCGGCGCTAGATTTCGGTTGCAGTATAAGATGTATACCCTATGATAAATGGCGGTGGAAGTAGATTTCCTTGACTGATGTATGAGTACACTCTGTACTACTGTTGCTTTCTTACTGTTTTGTTATAACTTGCATAAAACTATAAATAAAGAATTTATA